GCTTTCTTGTCACGTTTGACGTTCAACATCCATATATAACATATAACAAGCGAACATATTTTAAGAACGCAACATAATGCTCACTGCTTTCGTAATAATACCATTATTGTTTAGTTCACCAACAAAAACCCCCAACTTTGATAAATGCTTATTTGTTCCAGTTTGTTTATTTGATAGGTCATATCAGGGGGTGGAAACTTAGAAGGACATTGTGTATTTAACTTTCAGGTGGTGAGTTCAATTCTCAGCATTACATCTACGATCATTCGGATCTGCAAGTAGTACATCGGTGTGGATACGACGGTGGTGTGACTAACAACACACAGTACGACCCACAACTTATGGATAAACATAATACAAGACGTAGCATCGAACAGAGCCGAATTAATAGGGTAAACGCACTTGTAATTTACAATGTATAAAAAGGCAAGACTAAAAGAATATGTGTTTTAATTTACAATCATTATCTACTTGATTTTATTTAAATTATTGTCCATGAATATATGTGACAGTCGCCTTTATAACATCATTGTTTTCTTCTTCTAATGCCTCTCCATTACTGGATGTTGGCCGTCAGCTCAGCGAATCCTTTCCTGTACTGTGCCAAGCGAAAAAATTGTTCAACGCTGGCAATAGTGTCATTGACAATAAGGCAAAATTAGTATGAGATTTTCGTATATTTTACGCCCGATACACGCTGCACAAATTTTGTCGATGACGATACGATGGCGATTGTCACTACTGTTAAACGGTAACTTATCTATGACAAAAGGTGTAAATTTGTCTTGCAGTTCGTACAGTAGTAATAAAATTCAAAGAATCTTTTTTTGTAGACTGTACAGACCTCATAATTTATTTCCAGTACAAACGCGAGACATACGACGACACGGAGGTGCGAGGCCCTTTCAACGCTAACAAACAGTCGAGATATGTAGAGTTAGTGCTGGTCGCTGACAATAGAGAGTACAAAGCTAATGGGGAGAATCTGCAGACCGTACATCGACAGTTGAAGGATGTCGCTAATATTATTAACTCTGTAAGTAACACTTATTTAATTCAGGATCGTTTATTGTTTACTAAGGAAGCCTCTTAGTATAGATTTATTGTGTGAAATAAGTGACCAACACGACTAAGGGATTTTTTTTTAATTAAAGCGTCTATTAAAGTCTGATTCAAGTTTTTTTAGCAATTTGTAAATTCCTAACCTAACAGAATAAAGTTAAAAATTTTAATGTTTATTTTTAGGTGTATGCGCCTCTAAATATCTTTATAGCTCTAGTAGGCGTAGTTGTGTGGAGTGAGAGAGATGAAATACAATTAGAAGAGAATGGAGATAGGACTTTGACCAATTTTCTTGTATATAGAAGGATGAGACTCTTATCACAAATACCTAATGATAATGCGCACTTATTGACGTGAGTATAAGGTTTATTATTGTTTAGCAATTATATGTAGCAACAAATTTCTTTAAGACGACATTTCTGTACGATATTTTTAATCTAAAATTAGCAAAAATACTAATAAAAAATAGCTTTAATATATGAACAAACGACATAGATCTGTAAAGGAATTGGTATTATTTATAACGTCACGGCTCAGGTACAAATTTCTAGACAAATGCATTTTATTAACATTAATTAAACAAGAGCATCATTGGCTCATGGGACTTGTTATCTGCAGTGCCTGGGTTCGAATCTCGCTATGCACTAATGTGTTTTTAGATTTACATATGTATATTTATCCGACATTCTTACGGTGAAGGAAAACATCGTGATGCAACCTGCACATATCTGCGATGAAATTCTAAGATATGTGTGAAGTTAACCCGCACTTGGCCAGCGTGGTTGACTATGGCCTAATCACCCTTAACTTAGGGTAGGCTCCGAGCACCTCGGTGGGGACGTAGTAATACGATAGTGAGCTGATGATGATGAATTAAACAAAAGTTTTCATATTCCAGTCGTCAAAAGTTCCAAGAGGGTGTAGTAGGGAAAGCACTGAAAGGCCCGATATGTACATTCGAGTTCTCCGGCGGTGTTGCGACAAATCATTCAGAAGTTATAGGCTTGGTAGCTACAACCATTGCCCACGAGATGGGACATAACTTCGGCATGGAACACGACATGGAGGAGGACTGCGAGTGTCCAGATGAGAAATGTATCATGAGTCCGTCTAGTACTTCAGTTATGCCGATACATTGGTCTTCTTGTAGCTTGAGGTCTTTAGCGCTGTCTTTTGAACGAGGAATGGATTATTGTCTAAGGTATGGTGGTTTTTATGTTTTTTTGAAATATAAAGGGTGTTCGGATATCAAGTGTGCGAAAAAATTTATATCTTATACATAAAATTCTCGTGTCACAATTTTCGTTCCCATACTCCTCCGAAACAGCTTGACCGATTCTCATGAAATTTTGTGAGCATATTGAGTAGGTCTGAGAATCGACCAACATCTATTTTTAATCCCGCGCGGACGGAGTCGCGGGCGACAGCTACTAGAAATATATAATTTTAATTATAATTTGAAATGTAACGACGAGTAAATTTTAGTGAATTTTGTGTTATAACTTGCTATCGCCCACAACTCTGTCCGCGCGGAATAAAAAAAATAACTTAATTGTTTTCTTCCAAACTATGTTTTAAGACCGTTGTAGAGAAAGCTTCTAACAAATATTCATCCATCCCATATTCTATTTAAATTCGCATTTAAAATAGTAGTAAGATTAGATCAAAATAAATAATTTTTAATAATAATATAATAATAAAAACTTTATTGCCATAAAAAAAAACTGAACAAAATTATTCAACACACTGTTATACTGAGATAGTACTGGCTAAAGGGGGTGGCTCAGCTTTGCCAACACAGGTCAGATTCGAGTGTCGTTTTTAAGTTATAATTCGCCGTCTGTCAACTCAAAACTGAAAGAAAAGTGATGGGATTCAAGTAAGACAATTTGTACAGAAATAAACCGCGTCGTCTATTCGAGTCGCCGACATGTGGCAATGGTTTCGTGGAGGTGGGTGAGCAATGCGACTGCGGTATCGGAGAGGAGAGGTCGCGCGCTGCGTGCGTCGCGTGCTGCGAGCCCACCACCTGCATGCTGCGCAACAACGCCAGCTGTGCTGCTGGAGAATGCTGTGATCTACATGTACGTAATACCTGGTATACGAGAACTAATCAGCTATACCAAGAAGATCATCCTTTTTTTTAAGAGGGTATGCGTTAAGCGGTATGCGGTTGCCTCTGGGAACGACACTCCGGTTATGTGCGACTCTCCACATGTCTTGCCCTAGAGGGAAATTGACATGGAGCCTACAAACTAAACTATAGGGAGCTATAGTTCCCTCAATTCACTGTTTACTAGGGTGCGGGCATATATGAATATTCTTTGATCCCAACATGGCAAAGGAGACCATCCTAGACCAAGCTTCTAGCTAATATGTTAATAATAATAAACTCATTTAATTCATTCAA